GAATCACGATTTCCCATAACCAAAATATACGCGCCTTTGCAAAATTTGAGCTTCTCCAACTATCGAAGAAACCATCTTCAACTTATGCAGAGCAGCTTCAGCAGAGCAAACCGTACTCGAAGGAGAAAACGACTGGCGCTGAGAACACAGAAGTGAGAAGCGACGAAGAAAGCACCATTGTTGTCGTCAACAATGGCCGATTTGAACTCCACAAACACGGAGCGGAGAAATGACATGAAGCTGGTATGTATTCCTATGTTTATGATCTTCATTTGCGAAAACTAGGTTAAAATGTGTGATAAGAAGTCTAATAATGTAAGTTTCAACCTAATTTCTACTTGCATGTGTATCATTCTGAACAAGTGCGATAGATTTTTTTACTTCGATGTTTAATATGGTGTATTGTTTTACTAGAAAACAGATGCAAACATGAATTACTTCCTTTATAGTATGTACAAGTCAAGAGAATTCATGTATTTCTAGATTTAATGAGTTGTTCCTAGAATTTATTTCAATCATGGTCTGTTTTTGAAATATTGATGAGTTCTTAGTGTTGCTTAGGAATTAATCCAGCTACTAAACGGTCTTGACATTTTAGATTACATATAATGTCATTTTACTTACTTGGAATGATGAATGTAAACACAATATTGATATTTACTGTTCATAGGCAATAAGGAGGTCATGTGACAAGGACATCTTGTCAAAGATGAACAATTTGAGGGTAAACTGCTATTGCAATGTGTTGGAAGTGGTTAAGGCCATTAAGTTGTACTTGAATGAAGAAGAACAGTCTGAGTTTAGGAGAACAGTGTTTGGGTGGATTCTGGATGCAGATTCTATATCATGGATAAGTGGTCAGTTGTTATTGGGGCTGATTGGAAATCATGTTGAAGAGGCGAATCACAGAGTATAAACTGAGAAGATAACTTTCAACATTAGAAACAGTTTGATGTCATTTACAAAAGAAGACTTCGCTCTGGTGACATCTTTTAGGATGGATGGAGTTAAGAAAAAAATACAGAAGGATGTGCAGGGGGATATCTGGAAGAGATACTTCAATGGAAAGACATATGTGTCAAGACAAAACATCACCGATGCTTTGATTACATACAACCGCGATGATGAGGGAACTATTGAGGGTGATGGTGTCAAATTAGCTCTGTTGTATCTGCTAGGGAATGCCTTATTTGGAAACCAGAATAAAGTAGCATTGCCTTCATACTATGTGAATCTGGTGGATGATATGGAAGCTTTCAATAGCTACCCATGGGGAAGAGACATCTGGGATGATTTGGTCAACAATGCAGGAAAAAGTGCTGAGTTACTGACTACAAGTACTTCAGACCGTGTCACCTTTTCTGGGTTTATGTTTGCTGTACAAGTATGGGCCTTTGAAACTCTGATAGGCCTGAACAAAGCTGGTATTTGTGTCATCAAAGAAGATCAACAAAATGTTATTCCTCGCACCCTGTAATGGAGTTTTAATAAAAAACAAGTCTGCAACTTCTGTGCAAGTTGATATTCTATAACAATGATGTATCAATTGAAATATTTTCAATGTACATAATTGATTTTAATATAAATATATTGATGACATGCTTTTCTTTTATGCAGTTTGAATATAAACCAATGGAACCAACAGCTCAAGAGATGGAAATACCAGAGTTGACATTACTGTTGCAAAACTTCGAAAGAGAACGTTGGCAGTTTGATGGTGGAATAGACTGTAGTGAAGAGATACAAACTGAAGGTAATGACAAAGGTGCAGATAGCAATGAGAAAGAAGTTGAAAATGGAAGTGAAAAGGTGGAGAAAAAGAAAAAGTCAAGGTCCAGAAAGGGTGCTGCTCTTAAAAGAAAGTGCTCTAGGGAAAACAATCATGATGATGAAGATGACTCATTACTGCAAACCTTTGTTAAGAAGACTGACATGGGAGAATATCCAGAAAACACATGGGTCTTTATTGAGAAAGATACTGACAAGGTTGGAAGGTAGACATGTAGTGACAGATGAAGCTAAGGAGGTCAGCCAAGGGGAAAAGCAATGCATCTTTGAAAAAGATGATGTGGTGCTTCATGAAAAAACAACTGAAAGAGAGAAATGTGATGAAGGTGGGAACATTGAAATTGATGAAAATGGCACTGAGAAGGATGAAATTGGAAAGATGGATGCAGATAAAGGGGATAATATACAGACAGTGCCAGAGGAGGTTGATGATGCTGAAGAGTTGTTGAAGAATGATGAAAATAAAAGTTCTAATGAAAAGGAAGCAATGGCAGAGGAAGATGGCACTGTTGTTGAAAAGGAGAATGCTGAAGTGTCTGAGAATGAGATAGATTCTCAAAGGCCATCGTTCAATATATTTGGTTTTTCTTCACGGGAAGAAGAGCTTGTGAAAAAAACTGATGAGGAAATTCTAGGAGACTTGAACAATGCACGTGAGCCAGTTGTTGATGGCAGAACTGAGAAGATGGATGTTGGCAATGATACTGAAAAAGAGGACTGGAGAAAATTGAATGATGATGACACATATTATGATGAGGATGAGCTGCTCAAAGTGGATGAGCTGGTTAACAAAACCATAGAAAAGAGAAAAGACCATTGAGGAATCCACAAAGGTATGAAATTCAAAAGTTGTTCAATACATATTCAAATAATATATATTAATAATAATTAATATCTCAATATATTGCAGAAAATGGAAAAGGTAGAAGGGAAACTGGAAAGTAAGTCAAAGAAAGAAGATGTCAGTGCTATAAATCAGGTATAGTTCTGTTAGCAGATAATTCTGACAGTACTATGATGTACTTTTTAGTATTGCCAAATGTCTGATATAGTTACTGACAAACAAGACAGTATTGAACATGAGTATGTGTCAACGTTGGCAGTAACACATGACAGAACTTGCCAATAACTGAACTAGGATGGCAATGATGTTCTACATGCATATGCATCCTATATTGGCAGTAATAGTGCGTAGTTAATATTTAATGGCAAATTTAGTGACATGACAGAACTTGCCAGTAACTAATGAGAACATTTATGAACTGTTAGCAGTAATGGTATATAGAGTATAAAGCGTGCTGACACTTGATGATACAGTGCAAAATTATACAGGTTTACCAAGAACCAGAACCTCTAGCTGTGATTTATGGAGCTGCAGGTGTAAAAAAGTACAAAAGGAAACCTAGATCTCCGGAGCGCTACACGCCATCAGAGAGAACTGTGGAGAAAAAGAGAAGGAAGGTTGACAAAGCGAGTGTTATTATAAAAACACTAAAAATCCGAAGGTGCAGGAAAGCCATTCCTATTGGACTGCATGACTGTTGATTCAAAGACATGGTTGTATGGGCTGTTTACCAACCCAGAATGGTTACGCAATACGGTATGTTTTAATTCAAATATTCAATGACATATCCATCAATTAATTACTTAAATTCTGATCAATTGTGAAAATGTACTCTAATAAATATGTAAACATTTTATGCAACAACATATAGAAGTGGGAATGTATTACTTAAAATACAAAGCTGAGCAGTAAAGATCCCTCAAAAGTTCATCACAACATGCCCCTTTTTGTTGCCCACTTAAAGACAGAGAATGATAAAGTTGCACAAAAGAAGATCACTGTGGGCGAGACTGCAGATGATGATGCTATAATGACTGAAATCTTAGGAAGTAGAGAAGATGTGTCTAGTGCATGGTCTGAAGTAGATTTTGTCTACATGCCAGTGAACAATGGAAACCACTGGGTGTTAGTGGTTCTTGATTTACAGAGCAGGATGATGAGAGTTTATAACTCTAACTGCAGAAGAGGAGAGTCCCTGAGAGATATTGGCAAATTTCTACCAGGCTTAACAAGTCTACTGCCAAAAATCTTGGACAAGTATGGTGTGTATGATGGAATTGGTGGTGGAGATATGTGTGAAAGAAAATTTCAGATTGAAGGTGTAGAAAACTGTCCCCAACAGAATGACAGGTATGATAAGCAATAGTTATTCAATTTTCACAACTATTCATTCACTATTTAAAATAATATTATTCTAATCAACTGTTATTTGTCTTGTAATATAGTGGAAACTGTGGAATGTTCTTGCTAAAGTTTGCTGAATTCTTGATGATGGGAAGGGACATCAATGAAATCAAACCTGAAGACATGCCTATGTACAGGAAGAAAATGGCAACAGAGTTAATGATGTACAATGAAAGACGGACCAAGGATTCAGTGAAATAAGCATCAAGATACACTTGTTTATATGTAACACTGTGGGATAATTGACTTAGTAATCACAATATGGCCGTTTGAAATGCTTTTTTTAATGTTTAGCACACATGACAATGGGGTACTTTTGTATTTTCCTTAAATTGTATTTAGCTAATATCTTGACATTGCTACTTATATTTGGAATGCATTTACGATGCTGATGCACTTTTGTTGACATATTGGGACATATTTAATGCTATTCGTTTAAAAGGACATATGTGTCCTAAATAGGATTACTACTGCCATTGATGAATGTGAAGTAATGGCTAAAGTTGAAAGTAAATAATGTCATCCTACTTACATTTAAAATACGTAGTACTGCAATTATGTGGAAGTAATAACTAAAATATAGAGTAATACTATCATCGTACTGCCATCGTGAATACGTAGTACTGCAATCACTTTGAAGTCATGAATTAAGGTGACAGTTAATACTATCATCATATTGCTATATGATGGCAGTATCTACTCACAGAGAGAATACTGTCATTAAATATATTCTATACTCCACCATAAAGGCAGTATTAAGGAAGTACGTATTTATTAAAGAAAATATTATATACTGACATTATGAATAAAGTAATAAGTTTATAGAGAAATAATGCCACATATTGCATTTGATGCCAATACTTGTTGGCAGTATTTAAATAATTCATACTGGCAATATTTAGGCAGTAATATTTTACACAGGTGTATGAAATGACAGTACCTTTAAGAATGCTATCACAGTAAACAAAATACCATATATTCAATGTTCAATATTCAATATAATGAAATATAACAGTGTGTAATAAATGTATCTCAATCTTCACATAGGAATGAAAATGTAACCAAAACTAACATTAGAATTAAAAGCAAATACAGTACGAAACAGCTTCTTAAGAATGAATTGTAAGTGCATTCTTGCAGCTTTTTTTGTTATGACCAGCAGAATGGCACCGAGAACACTTTTTTCGTTTGGTTGCACAAAATTCACCAACTGATGGTATCCTTTTTGTTTTTGGTCGACCAACTTGTCTTTTAGAACATGAAGGTTGCTTGCAAACAATACTTTGAACCTGAGGTGGAACTATACAAGAAGATACATCACCAATTGGATGCTGCACACCACTATAGGTATTCAACACAGATTGTCTCGTATAATAATATGATATATAATCATAGCAGGAAACACCAGCGCGTGTGCCTATGGCAGCTACAGCATGTACACAAACAAAATCCTTTAATTGAAACATACGGCACATGCATGTTCGGTCATTGAGATTGACAATAAAAGATCTATGAAGTCTATCAACAACTTCAAACTCATAACGGCATGACGGTTTAACCTGAAAAATTAAGGTTAATGAAAGATGTGAATTACAGATAGAACAATACAGTCAATACAACACAAGGATAAACAAGAACATGGCAGTACAATAGAAATATGAATGAAACACTGTCACATTCATGTAATGAATGTGACAGTATACACTTGCCAGTAACTAAATCAAAAAGTGAAACACAGAGAAAATGAGATTGTTACCCTCATCCTTGAAGCATCCCTCTGCAACGAAACTAAATGTTTCTCAAACTTTAGAGTCAAATGAGTAGTTGATGAAGTTGCTTCTTCCAGTCGCTCCGCAAACCACGTTTGCATTCTTTCACGGATAAAATCCAAAAGCTTAGCAACAGGGTACTCTCTTGCATTAGCATCCATGCTGTTCATGGCCTCTGCACAGTTAGAGGTCATAACACCCCATCGACTCTTAACTGCCATGCTTCGAGCCCACTTTTCCTTTCCAATCTTCTCTAGCCACGGACGAATCCTAGCATCTTCCTCATCCAACATGGACAAATATTGATAGCATTCACTCACAGTTGCAGCCTCCCATGTAGCTTTAAATTTCCAACCATGGTTGGATGACTTACCTCGAAATTTGGATCTCATATTACACCGCAGATGTTCACAACAATATCCATGGGCAGCGTGTGGAAAGATGGCCTTTGCAGCTTTGATAATACCTTTATGTCTATCTGACACAATGTACATGTCATCACGATGTTTAAGGCACTCTTTGAGCCTTGTAAAGAACCATTTCCAAGACGCAGTGCTCTCAGAATCACATACAGCAAACGCTAAAGGCACAATATGTTTGTTTGCATCTTGGCCGCAGGCGGTAAGCAATGTCCCTTTGTAGTACGCTTTCATAAAAGAACCATCGATAATAAGAACAGGAATGCAATGCTCTCATGCTCTCTTCCATGGTGCAAGTGACATGAACAAATAGCGAAACACATCATTATCCCCTCTAATGAGCAAGATGTCAGATCCTGGATTAGCTTGGTCAAGCATATGGAGCATCGATGGCAACAATTGGTATGCCTCTGAATCTCAACCAAATTGTTTTCTCATGGCAGATTGTTTTGCAGCCCAAGACTTCTTGTATGATATCGGTATTCCATACTGCAACAACAAATCATCCCTGATTTGTTTAGGGGTGTATGGTTTTTTGGAAGCATCCATATACTGATGAGCTACAAGCTCAGCAATCATTGCAGAAGTGGCCTGCCTGTGACGAACACCTTGCCTAAAGTCTATTGAGCAAGTGTGATCAACATCGAACATGTATGTAAAGAACAACGAATAAATATAAACTGATGGATATATAAAGTACGAGAGAAGGTACATGCGTGGCAGTAATTGTTGACAGTACATGTACACTATGAAAATAATACAAACACAGGTGGAAGAACGTAGCAGATGACAGTATAAATGCTTGGAAATACAAGGTGTACAGTGACAGTATTCTTAAGCAATGAAACTTTGAACTAGGAAACACATAATGCAAGATTCTTAAAATACATCAGAAACAAAAAAAATATGAATGAATTAAGAATTATACCTTCTAATCTGAAAAAGCTGAACACCTTTGAGCCTAACAGCACGAACAGCCCATATACAATTTTCTTTGTCCAAACACATCACATGCAATGAATGCTTCTTTGAAGTCTTTGAATAAAATTGGAAGCTATTATTGATCGCGTACATTCTAAGGTGATAAAGTAGAGCTTGCTTGTTCTGGTATATACCATGGAGCACAATCTTAGTAGCAGAATAACATGTAATGACATCACAGTTTTGGTCTAACACAAATGCATCTGAGGAATGATTTTCTAAATTTTCAGAAGAAGAAGAAAGTGAGTCCTCATCAAGGGAATCCTCATTCAAACATTCAGGAAGTACACCACTGCATGAACTGTGCTCTTCAAAGTTATTTTTATTCAAGGAAACACTCAACTGATTGACATAAAAGGAAGATGTGGATGAAAGAACATTATCAAAACTAATTTCAGGAGTACGGGAAGATTTTTCAGGATGCAAGTATTGTTCTACAGAATGGACAACAGTGAAACTGGTATTTGCATTGCACAGATCAACATTAGAACAAGCTGCAGGTGTGACCAAAGTATTTGGAGTACAAACAGGTAAAACAGGATCATAACTAGGTAGTTTCTCTTTGTCAAATTGTATACACAGAGGATACTTTGAGAAATCTGATTGAAGGATCTTAAGATCAATATAAAAGCGTAAACTAGCATCATCATTGACTGTAACAGGTGGAGGACAGGATTCAACAAGGTATGATATGGTGAAACGTGGATTGCATTTGATTTGATCAATACTGCCATTCAGGATGTCTAAGAGTGATGAATATGTGCAAGAATATGGGACATGAATACCTAATGGCGCCTTGTTCACGAAGCCAAAGTCAGGCCCCCATATACCATCCAACTTGACCATTATAAGCAAAACACGATCCATTGCAACGATTACAATATATGAGAACACTGCAAAAACGAATTGATGAATCTTAGAACATTAATGAGATCGGAACAAATTAGAGAACTTCTAAATATCTTTGAATAGTCATCGAAGTTGAATATCAAACTGATACACGATGCATTAGAACACTTCGAAAATAGGAAAAACAAAGCGAAATACATCGAAGCTGAATCAGCAAAAATGGCGAAAGTAAAACAATTGAATAATCGAACAGAATACCTGGTAAAAAAGTTGACCTCGAGCAGAAAATTTGAGAACAATTCAAACGTTTTCCGATCTAAAGCTTCGATAAATTAAGACTTTTTGGTTCAAAAGCCTTGTATGAAGTGATTTGCCATCCTCACGAAGCTCAATTTTAGAGCTTAAGCCATGATCTTCGAACGAGAACTTGCAGAGACAGAGTAGAAGAGGACGGGAGAACTGAGATTCGTTAAGATCGGTAATCGGATGTTAGGCGAGAAAGAAGAAGGGTATTTTTAGGAATGAAAATATTTTATGTTTTTAATAAGGAGCACCGGAGTCCCATTTTTAGAAATAAAGTCAACGAGTCCTATTTTGGAATTAGGAAAACTAATTAGTCCCATTTAGGGTAAATTCCCTTAAAAAAAAACTTAAGTTTTCTTCCTAATTTGTTAGCTACAGATCTACATCTTAATAAATTTGTCTAATCTAAACTTCTATCTATCTCTGTCATCATTTTCATGCCAGGTCACCATATCTTTATTGTTGAATTAAAATAATGTCTTTGTCTCTTCGGCTCTTCCATAGACCCGGTAAACTGGGAGATCCTCTTATCGCTTTTTCTTATCGCTTTGTTATAGATTCTTACCTGAAATTCCGAACAACCTCGAAAAGAAAAGGTGAGGAGAATATGCGTCTACTCAAGGAAACTTCTGTGATATGATTCAAAGTAGCTGTCAGTGCCCAGATCAATCAAGAAAATAAAAATCAAACATTTCCCAGGCAAGATAAACGAATCATATCATCCCTCAAATCGGAATATCCCTCGGATTTCTGATCAATTGTTGTGTTTGTTGTATTTATACGTTTTCTGACATTAATGCTGGAATTTATACCGCTGCATTAGTATCATATATTCATATGTATCTCTGAACTGAGTTAACCTTTGTCCGGGTCCTACCCTATAAACGGTGAAGTTTTGGTGACAGTGTTAAATTAAGCCATTAACAACAACAAACTTGTTTATAAAGAGTGGGTTCGTGGTATCTAAAGAAATTGAACATGAGTTTCAGATCAACCACCTGAGCTCTATCTACAGGCTTAGTATCAGCATTTAGTAATATGAGTATCGTTATTAGACTTTAGCTTTTAGTTTTATAACTAATGTTCTTGTAATTGCTATATTCAGGTTCTCTGTATTGTTTAATAATGTGCCTTTAAAGAAATAATTGATTCTTGGGTGTCTTGACTAGATTCCATATCCATTAGTTCTACCTTAGGCTTAAAACTCTTTTCTCTCAATATCAGCTTGACCTCTCTTCCGCCTATTTCAATCCTGTGATGAGATTTCTACCAAGCTCATACCGCAAACATTACAAAGTACTAATTAGCTTAGATATCTGGATGTTGGAACTTTGAATCATTCTACTACCAACCATAAACTGCCATCCCAATTATTGGCTTCTCAAAGTCAAATTCACACTCCATACACAGGTGACAGAAAACATCAACTAAAGATAATGCCTTTGGTGACTTTTTCTTTTCCTTTATGTGTTATCTTTCCTTATTAACTGTAGGATCGATAATAGAAGGCGTAGGCACATCAAAGGGAATGAATAGGAGGAATTTGGAAAGGCCCTCACCCTATTATGCAGACTGCAGACAGGGCATATTTATTTTCCTAGCTGATGTGGGGGCATTGTTTCCAGATATAAACCTCAACTTAGATGAAATTCATTTACTTAATCGGACATTTCAACCAATCCCATGCCAAACTGACAAAGTGAGTTCTGGATTTTGAATTGATAGTGGCGATGAAGAGGCCTCCCTCCCTCTTATACATGGATTTGGCACATTTGACTTCTTTATTAGTTCAAAATCTCAAATCACTTAATGAGTTTAAGACATCATTCAGTTACTCCTCCCTTCCTGTCTACTAGGGTGTACATTTGAGCTTCATTTTTATTCAGTTCGGTTTAGGACGGCTTTTAAGTATACTTACCAAATTAATACCAAATTACTACATTTTCCTGATGAGCAATGATTTCATCATTTCTGAATTAGCATGTAAAGGTTATGATTTGTGTAGAAAATAGCTAGATGGCTGACAGTAGCAAAGAAGTAGAGCCCTTGTTAGATAAATTGCCCTTAAGCAGTCCCACTGTTGGTGATCCCAGAAGAAGAAAAGGTTTGCTGCGATGTAAAAGTGCACCTCTGAGAGGAACGCTGGTTCACAAAGAAAAGAATGACCCCAAAACACTCCTACGATCTGAGTCCTTTTTTGATAACATCCACCCGAACTTCAAGAGAGCGATCCTGTACTTGCTGATCTACTTGGTTATAGGCACCCTTTGTTTCTATATGGTCAAGGACCATATCAAAGGAGAGAAAACAGACGGAGTCCTCGACTCGGTTTACTTTGTTGTGGTGACAATGACAACCGTTGGATATGGTGACCTTGTACCCAACAGCGACCCTGCAAAGCTGCTAGCTTGCGTTTTCGTCTTCTCTGGAATGGCTCTGGGAGGACTATTTCTGAGCAAAGCGGCAGACTTTTTGGTGGAGAAGCAAGAGAGGCTATTGATCAAGGCATTGCATTTGCGCCACAAGGTCGGCCCGAGTGAGATCATGAAGGAATTTGAAACAAAAAGGGTGAGATACAAGTGCGTGCTGACAACGTTGTTTCTAGTGCTGCTTGTGATTGTGGGAACCGTGTTCCTAGTCCGCATTGAAAAACTGGGCATCGTCGATGCCTTGTACTGTGTTTGCTCTACAATTACGACACTTGGGTACGGGGACAAGAGCTTCTCGACGAAGGGAGGGCGCGTGTTTGCCATATTTTGGATATTGATTGGGACCATCTTTGTGGCTCAGTTCTTTCTGTATGTCGCGGAATACAACACCGAAAGCAGGCAGAGGGAACTGGTGAAGATTGTTCTTTCCCGAAGAATGACCAATGTGGATTTGGAGGAAGCTGATCTCGATGATGATGGTGCTGTTGGGTGAGAATTTTATTTCTTTCCTACATTTCTATCTTAACTATTGCTACTTCCATCCCAATTCAAAGTTTACATTATTTGTCCTGTTACATTTCACATTTGATTAACTTGTTTTGCAGTTAAGTAAATCTTTTAGTGGTATTTTAAGAAATTGTAGATTTTAACTACGGAGTATTAAGGATATATTGAATCGTTTCCGATGTATTTAAGTAAAGGATATATTGAAACTTATTTCAGTCTAGCTACTAAAACCCGACAAAAAGTTTCTTAGAACAAAACTAAATTAGACTTTATTTTTGAGAGTAATACTCAACTAACTAGACCAGGCTTCACTAATTTACAGATTTAAATATTATCGGGTAAATCTTATTTTTATCATTTCAACTATTGGAAACCAAAACTAGAAGAAGTTGGGATGGATGGAATATTATTGTTATTGGTACTTGACTTTTAATTTGATGATGAGTTCATAAAGGGTGGCTGAATTCGTGATATACAAACTGAAGGAGATGGGGAAGATCACGCAAGCAGACATTTCGCTTGTCTTGAAGGAATTCGAAAGTCTTGATGTTGACCAGTCTGGAACTTTGACTTCCTCAGATTTGACGCTTGCTCAGTTATCTTTAACGCCCCACTGATTCTTGCCCGATTTCCAGCTCTTCTTTGATCTCAGCGAGCTGGTACTAGTCCACTTTCACCGGTTAATAATTCGACGGTTGTATATACATAAATATATACGGTGTACAGTATGTGTCAATGTATTTGTATTGGTTGACGTGTTAAAGAATTAAATTGATTTGTGCGTTAACTTTGTTTCTATTTGCTCTATACACTCTACCCATTTTTTTCATATGAATCTATTTTCTTTCTGAAGTTAGGTGAACATATCATTCATGTGCTCTGAGTTCAACGATGTAATATGCAGTTCTTAAAATAAATTTATTACTCCGTACATTGTTTTTACTTCTTGTAGTGTTCCTTTTCTTATTTATCTCATATTCTATTAGTTAAATCTTCACTTTTTCCTCTTGGGATATTGGATAAATGCTATCAAATTATTTAAAGGTTCCTAGAAATGTATTTGTGCATTGACATGTATTCTCTCAAGTTATGAAGAGTATATCAGTATATCACAATGTTCTAAGCATGGATGTGTCATCCCATGTGTATTTGTACATTCATTGTCTCTATTTGATATACATCAAGTGATCAAGAAGAAGATTTATTAAGTAAGATATCTTTGAAGTGAATGAAACATATAAAATAGTTTATAAAGAGCAATATGGGGATGACATAAACCCTAGTGGATTTCATATTTTGAATTGTTTTCACTTGGGTTTATATGCAGATAAAAGTAAAGCATTTTCTAACAATATTAATTCTAAGAGGCTTTCATGTATGACATCTAGGTATTTCCTTTACCAAATAACTATTTGTGATGACTAGGGGATGTAATTGCTTCACCTAATAAGTATTAACACTATTGTTGTGGATATGCAGTAGGGGCACATGCCCTCACACTCACTAGGTCAACTACTTGTCATGAGGTAACCTTCAAATGATATAAAATCTCTTGAGATTTTTAATAAGAAATACGTAGTAAATGATTGATAAATTAAATGACACCTATTATGTTTGTCAAACAGAGCAGGTACTCGAAATAAAATGGAACTATGTAGAGTCATAATTTGAATGGATAGCAAATGATAGATACTTCGAGATGCAGCTGGGGAGGGGGGAAGGAGTTGATAGGTTGAGTTGACATTATTTGCTCTGATTTTTACTTTCATGCTATTTATATTAATGAGAATGAATGCGTCACACATTTCATGCCATTTACCTAAGGCTTCCTTGAGATATTAGAAGCTCTTATGCAATTTAAAAATGAGATGTTATTTATTCACAACTTGAAAACCATAGAAATATTTTATTTATACTTCTCCATCCTAATCCCCATAAACTATTTGTAGTGTATATGCTTAATTTCAAGATCCACACTGGAATCAATCTGAGTTTGCTGTTGTACCTCATTATACTTTGTTGACATAATCTAAACAATTTTAAAAATAAAATTCAACAACCAATACATATGATTCTTCTGCAAATAATTAAATTTATCTTCTATGGCCTTCTATCAATTGGAGTACTCAATATAATATTGAGTTTGTCAAAACCTCTCACGATTGTAGGAAGGTTAAATTTTAAATAACATATCTTGTTGATGATACTAACCAATTTTGCTAATAAGTCTTGAATATGAAGGGGTGGAAGCTCCTCCACTCACCACCTCCTTGATCAACATTTTATTCTTCCTCATATTCATGTTCACCAAGAACATTGTCATTCTGTTGAGTTTAATCCAACATGATATAGTAAATATATGTATAAATGGGTATGAAACTCGGTTTTTACGTGGAAACCCGAAAGGGAGAAAACCACGGGGCTTTTTAGGCTAATGTCCAAGCCCTCTCTTTCTCATTAGGACTCTCCTCACCATTACATTGTACAAGCTCCCATTAATGAAGTATTTGAGCTAAGTCTAAAAGAAGGAGGAAGGAGAGCTAAAAGGGGATCCCTAAACATATGGGAAAACCCCATATTTTTAGGGGGAAGGGAGTAGGGGAAAACCTACCATAATGGGCCAAGTGGGCCGAAATGTGCCCAAAGGCCGAAATAGGCCCGATAGGCTTGGAATGGCCCTCGCCATTCGGGCTCTGAACTGGGGTAATATATTGGGCTATTGAACAGTATTAGTCCGGGATAATATACCTCAACACATTCTTTTTGGAATTTGGTTGTGAAACTTTGGCTTCAAATCATAAGATATGTTTCATCCAAAATCACAACTCCTACGACTTTAAAGTTTAAATAATTTTCTTCTTTTTTCTATCACATAACTCTTTCTCGATAACCAACTGCGATATATGGAGCAAATTTGAGGGTTAGTTTCTCCCTCAACTCATTTGACATGTGCAAATGTCTTGCACCTAAATAGGCTATAATGTGAATATGAGCTAGATATGTTTTTTCTATCATATCTTTTCTAAAAACATCAAAGTTAAGTATAGTATTGTGCTGAGGGTGATCTATTTATTAATAAGTGGGTACCAATACAACTTCATTCCAATGACTTAGGTAATGTGACCATATTGGTCCTGAATTGAACATTATAAAAGTGCTTCAATTTCTCCACTCTACTACACCGTTGTAGTATGGGGTTCACAAACAATCTTTTCATACAATACACAGAGAACTACGACAACGTATAGCTTCCTCCATTATCTGAATAGACACATTTCATCTGTTTTTTCATCTTTAATTATCTATAGCATCATCGAATATTTAATAATAGATCAAAAGTTTGATCCTTCACACTCCAAGAGACTAGAACCATACCAATCCTGAGGCATCATCAATTAATGTCAGAAAAACTACTCTTTCCCCACTAAAAGATCTTTATCATCAATTGGTCCAAAAACATAAAAATGGATGATGCTCGTCAACTTGAAGTGGCTCGTCAACATAAAAATGTATGAGTTTACTAATAAGATGAGTATTTCATATGTAAATACCTAATTATCAAATTTTAAATAAATATATATTGAGCGAACGTACAATATTTAAAGAGTGTTCGTATTTGCTTGTACTTTAAGATGCTAAGTGGTTTATTTTAGAGACTATATGAAAAATTATTGATAATAAAATTGGGTACTTTTTAAAAGGAAAATTATTTTAATAAAAAAAACTAGTGTTTGGCGGAAGGTTTTTTTTATATATAAGAAAAATATGAAGTGTTTTGGGACTAAAGCTTGGATGTTGTTGTTTTTGTTGTAGAAAAATATGAAGAAATTTTTAAATATCCTTGAATTGTAAACTATGTTCAACTTTTAACGTTGAACTATTTAATTTTAAGTAGAGTCTTTTCTTTATAACAAAATTTGAAACTTAACCGAATAGAAGATGAAATTATTATTTTTAAACTATTGTAAACATCACTTCAAAGTTGAATCTTCTTATGGAGATTATGGAACCACAACTTTCCTTTACCAGAAAACATTGTTTGATTCAGCACTTATTTTCCCTCAATGTGTTCTATATGCTCTCATGATGAAGCCCCTCAGGGGTATATTTTCTTTCAATGTTATTTTGCCTCCACACTTTAATTTGGAAACATGTTGCAGGTTTGCTTCTCCTTTTCGGGAAACCTGCACCATCATTGAGACAAAACCACCTTATGTGGTGGTTGTGTGCATCTAATCATAGCATGAACGTGATATTTAATTTTTGGCTATTCTACCTTGTGTACTATTGTGACTTGTGAATTGGTTTATTTGGAAGTTTACCCACAAGTTATTTGGCTAGAACATTCGGACATGGACATCATACTCAAGCTTCTTTCCTCGTATATGCATAACTGGTGCTTATCCCATGCCCACCTATTAAAAGAGGACTAAGTTTGACCATAAAAGTGCAAAATGTAACCACATGGAAGAAGTGTTTGAACCACAAATGGGACATGAAAAATAACCTAGCTTTGACAATACATCCAAATTAAATAAGTTACCGTATGCCAAGAAGTCACTAATAGTCCACATAAGTATAACCCCCATTTCAATGTCTCCTTTCTAAAACAATAAAAACGTCTACAACCTCAATCAAGGGATGTAAGCAGACAACATCATGAATTTAATTTTCATGATCAACCAAGAAAAAAGATTATAGATGGCTAATTGGACATGTCGACAACTATATGAAGAACTGAGCAAACTGTGTCGATTGACTCCATCACTTGAGAGACCAATCTCAAATTCCAGGGCGCATCACCAAACTCTGGCCACAATTGATCGATATGATTCCATGCCGCACCATCAGCAAGATGGCGCAGTTTACGATCTTTAACCTACTGGTTTGCATGGCAGGTCATAAATGTCGGGAGAAATATAAAGATTGATGCTAAATACCTTCTCTTCTCAACTTCATTGGTTTGACCTAGCCACACACCCCCAGAGATTCCTTGAAGACCCGATTAAGCCTTTGGATTTATTGAAGACGACAGAGGCTGTGATTAAATTGCAGACATATTTGGTCTTCGAGAGAGAAAGAGTAGACGTAGTTTTTCCGAGATTAAGAGTAGACGCAATAAGATTCTTAAGGGGTAGAGTTTTTTGAGAGAGAAAGAGTAGATGGACAGGTCAATTATGTATGGTATAAGGGAAACATATTTTTAGTAAGTTAGGGATATTAGTTATGGGAGGGAAACTAAAAAATGTGGAGGGAAACAAAGTAATATAATAATAAGTGGAGGTCGCATGCACGCGAGAATGAGAAAGTTCTTACCAAGTGTATCCCAATTTTTTTATTTAGTACCACTATTGTGTGTGGATACCATAGTATCATTGGTAGCAAGAGCTATAATCGAAAACCCAAATCTAATTAGGTGGTCATTGTTACTCAAGGCGTTTTATGGGCTCTTTGCTCTCATTTGTGGCAATGGCTATATAGTGGGCATCAATTAGATATACGACATTGGAATTGACAAGGTAAACAAACCTTATTTACCTATAGCAGCAGGAGACCTTACGGTTCAATCTGCATGGATCTTGGTAATATCGCTTGCTGTGGCTGGACTCTTTATTGCCGGGATCAACTTTGGTTCATTTATTGGTTCTCTTTATGCTCTTGGTCTCTTCCTTGGCACCATTTACTCTGTGCCTCCTTTTCGCATGAAGAGATTCTCACTTCTAGCATTTCTTGTAATTGCAACGGTGAGAGGATTTCGTCTTAATTATGGTGTTTATTATGCCACATGAGCAGCTTTGGGGCTAAGCTTTGAATGGTTGAGGAAGCTCCCCTTGTCATTCTTGCACATGGAGGAAGCTTCATGGAAGCTATGAATTGGATTCTTCAATTTGCTTGTACTTGGATATGACCTGGAAATTGAATTCTTCAATTCTCCCCTTCCAGGCATATTCAAAACAAGCATCCCGACTATGTCTCTGCACAGCTCTAGCTTATCCCGTGTCACCACCTTCGTCAGCATGTCTGATGGATTCTCCTTTGTATTGATCTTCACTAGTCTCAACAGTTGTTGATCAATCGTCTCTCGTATCCAGTGATACCGAACATCAATATGCTTTGTACGAGAATGGTACATGGAGTTCTTGCTTAAGTCTAAAGCACTCTGACTGTCACAATGTACCTTGTACTCTTTCTGCTGGATCCCAAGTTCTTGGAGAAAGCGCTTTAGCCACAACATTTCCTTACCTGCTTCAGCGGCAGCAATGTATTCTGCTTCTGTAGTAGATAAAGCGACACACTTCTGCAATCTTGATTGCCAAGAAACGGCTCCCCCTGCAAAAGTGTAGATATATCCTGAAGTAGACTTTCTACTATCAGTATCTCCTGCCATATCAGCATCTGTGTAGCCTTCCAAGACTGGATCAGCTCCTCCGTAACAAAGACATAACTCCGTGGTACCTTTCAAGTACCTGATAATCCATTTGACTGCCTCCCAATGCTCCTTCCCGGGGTTAGAGAGAAAACGACTCACTGTACCCACTGCCTGTGCGAGGTCTGGCCTTGTGCATACCATGGCGTACATCAAACTCCCAACTGCTGAAGAATATGGAACTGCTGACATCTCCCCGATCTCTTCCTTGGATGTAGGGCATGTTCTTTTGCTCAACTTGAAGTGATTCGCAAGTGGAACACTTACTGGCTTGGCATCATTCATGTTGAATCTCTCAAGTACTCGTTCAATGTACTTCTCCTGAGATAGCCATAACTTGCGATTCTTCCTGTCTCGAGTGATCTGCATCCCAAGAATCTGTTGAGCCGGTCCTAAGTCCTTCATATCAAAAGACTTAGAGAGTTCTTTCTTTAGTTGGTTTATCTTCACTGCATCTTTCCCAACGATCAACATGTCGTCTACATATAGTAGAAGAGCAATGAAGGTACCGTCTGGAAGTTTCTTGATGTATACACACTCATCTGCAGTAGTCTTCTTGTAGCCTTGACTCTTCATGCATGAGTCAAACTTCTTATTCCACTGCCTTGGTGCCTGCTTCAAGCCATACAAACTCTTAGATAATTTACACACAAAATTATCATTTGAGTTCTCAAAACCTTCCGGCTGCTGCATGTAGATTTCTTCTTTCAAATCTCCGTGAAGAAATGCTGTCTTCACATCCATTTGTTCAAGCTCCAAGTTCATACTTGCTGCCAAGCCAAGTATAACTCGGATTGAGGTCATCTTGACAACTGGTGCAAAGATCTCATCAAAGTCAATTCCTTTCTTCTGCGGGAACCCTTTGACAACCAACCGAGCTTTGTGTTTCACCACTTGTCCGTTTGCATCCTTCTTCAGCTTGAACACCCATTTGTTCCTCAGTGCCTTCTTCCCTTTAGGAAGTTCTACGATCTCATAGGTTTGATTTTTCTGCAGAGATTCTAACTCATCCTGCATTGCTATTAGCCATTTTTCTTTATCCTTATGAGATACAGCTTCTTGAAAACTCTCTGGTTCTCCATCTTCAGTTAACAAAAGATATTCGGATGATGTGTACCTTGTCGATGGTATATGCCCTCGTTCAGATCTACGAACAGTAGGAACCATCTGAGAAGAGCTACCATCATCTGTGTCTGGCGGGGTGGATTGTGTCTCCCCTTGCCCTGCACTCTCTTCTGTCTCCTCGTGTTCTTCTGCTTCTGAGTTATCTTCATGCACTTCGTCCTCTTCTGGTGCTTCATTTGAAACTTGAGCACCCTCATTTGACTTCCGAGACATTGTGGGTTTTTCAATGTCTTCTATTGTCAAATCTTCGTGGAACACAACGTCCCTACTTCTGAACACCTTTTTCTCCTTAGGATCCCATAGCCTGTATCCAAACTCTTCATTTCCATAGCCAACAAAAATGCATGGGATAGTTCTTGCATCGAGCTTCTGCCTGAGCTCTTTGGATACATGTGCATACGATGAGCAACCAAATACTCTAAGATGTGAGTATGTAGGATCCTTACCTGTCCATAACCTCTCTGGAAGTTCAAAGTTCAGTGGTACCGAAGGTGATCGGTTGATAAGGTAGCATGTGGTGTTGACTGCTTCTGCCCAGAATGACTTCGGAAGCTTAGCCATATTCAGCATGCTCCGGACACGCTCCATGATAGTCCGGTTCATTCTTTCAGCAACGCCGTTGTGCTGAGGGGTGCGTGGTACTGTCTTCTCATGTCGAATGCCATATTCTCTACAATATGCATCGAACGCCTTAGAAGTATACTCGCCTCCATTATCAGATCGGAGACATTTCAGCTTCTTTCCCGTTTCACGTTCCACCAAGACGTGAAATGTCTTGAAGCACTCAAATACCTGATCTTTCGTAATCAGGAAATACACCCACACTTTCCGAGAAGCATCATCAATAAAAGTCAGAAAATATCTGCTTCCACCGATTGATTCCACCTCGAAAGGACCACAGACGTCGGAGTGTACCAAACTTAACAACTCTGATCTTTTAGCTGAAGTAGAACTAAATGATACTCTATGATGCTTACCAAACAGACAATGACTGCAAGGACCCAGTGCAGCATTCTTGTCGATGTTGATAAGGTTCTTCTTAATCAAGGTAGTCAGCCCTTTCTCACCGATGTGGCCGAGCCTCAGATGCCACAGATTCTGAGTAGTCTCCTCAGCAATATTGAGGCTATCCGTACAAATCCTCAAATGAGTTTTGTACAATGTGCCACAAACATGTCCTCGAGCGATTGTCAAAACGCCCTTTGACATTTTCCAGGTGCCCCTGTTAAAGTGATTTTCATACCCCTGTTCGTCAAGACATACCACTGACAGGAGATTGAGACGAAGGTCTGGAACATGTCTGACATCCTTCAAAGTGATTGTGCTCCCAGAACTCGTCTTTATTTGTATATCACCAATTCCAGCTATTTCAGATGAACTGGAATTGCCCATCTTCACTGCTCCAAAGTCTCCAGCTTTGTAAGTTGTGAAGTAGTACCTGTGGGGAGTAACGTGGTAGGATGCTGCAGTATCTACCACCCATTCAGTGTCCTCTCTTGAGACGTGAAGGCATGTTTCATCATTGATAGTACAATACGCCACATCACCTGAGATTGTGATGAGCGCTTCACCACCCTTGCTCTTCGCTTGAGAATTGCTCTTGCCTCGCTCCTCTAGCAATTTGTAGCAATTCTTCTTCATGTGACCCTCTATACTGCAATGGTGGCAGGTATAAGAAGGTTTCCGGCCATCTGATGATCTCCCCCGACTTTTGCCCCTGCTTTGCCACTTTCCTCTACTGTTTCTTTGTTGCTTTCCTTGTGATCTTCCTCGATTCTCCGTCACAAGGGCATGAGTCTCATCTGTGCTCATGTCTGTCCTTCTTGCCTCTTCATTGAACAGTGCATCCTTGACCACAGACATGGTAAGTTTGCCATCTGGGGCTGAGTTGCTGAGAGTAACAACTAGTGTCTCCCAACTATCAGGAAGGGAACTAAGAAGTAGTAGAGATTGCATTTCATCTCCAAGTGGCATTTCTACACAAGATAGTTGATTTACCAGACTCTGAAATTGACTAGTATGTTCGGCAACAGAAGTTGCACTTTTGAGCTTCATATTAACAAGACGCCTCATCAGTAGGGCCTTGTTCCTAGCGGTCTTGGCCTGGTACATATCTTCTAACTTTTTCCAAAGGGCATAAGCATCGGTTTCTTGTGCAACATGGTGGAAGACACTATGGTCAATCCATTGTCGGATTTGACCAATAGTTTTTCTATTAATTTTCTTCCATTCCGTTGACTTAGCCGGGTCAGGATTAATACCTTTCATCTCTATTGGATCAAAAAGGTCTTTACAGCTAAGGAAATCTTCCATCCGAGGTTTCCATAGCGTGTAGTTGGTAGCCGTGAGCATAATCATAGCTCCGGAAGATCAAGTTGACTCGTCAAAGGTCATTTTCACCTTCTAAATAATTTTGATTTTCTGTTTCAGAAAAATCGGAGCAGAATTTCGAAAAACGGGCAGCACCGTTGCGTCCGGAACGGCCGAAAATGGTGGGTAGGCACTTTCGGGGTCAAAATACAATTTTCGAAAAATTATAGGCCAAAATTATAATTTTTCAAAAATTGAGGGACCAAACTGCAATTTTTCAAAATCTAAAAACTGACCGGTGACGTGGCAGATGACGTGGCAGTGACGTGGCAGTGACTGGTTGATGACGTGGCAGATGACTGGGCGCTGGTGAAAGTTGGCAGTTGACTGGTGACGTGGCGGCTGACTGTGCTGGGACTGCACATGTGGCGCTGAGGTGTCGCTGACGCAGCTCTGGCTGGCTGATGACGTCAGCGATGACGTCAGCTGTCTTCAACCTCTGTCTGCGCGTGATGACGTCAGCATGACGCAGGCAGTTTTTGGCCGGCGTTTGGCGGCGCGTACGGCAGCTTCCGGTGGCCAAAAAAATCCCCAAAAATACCAGTTTTCTCGTCTCGACGAGACGAATCCAACGGTATATTCAGATTGCAATTCTGAGCAATACTGAAAAACTCGATTTTTCAGACAGTAGAATTTTATCTGAAAAAATCTGGGAAAAATATCAAAAGCTCAACCAGGCTCTGATACCACTTGTTGGGAATAACAGGATCGTGCTAATATGAGAGAAAAACACTTCTATTACTTTCAAGAATAGAAAGAAGAGACATACAAGCTCTAACTAAAAACTCTCAAAACACCTCACATATCTCTCAAGGATATTCACAACTCAAACTTGGTTGTGGTATTCTAATCTATGATCTAAATTGCTTGATGATAGAAAGACTCTCCAAGCTCTCTATTTATAGCACCAAAACTAGGTACTATGAAGGTGGGAGGAAGATGTGTTGAAGCTAGGAGGAAGCTTCAATGGAACATGAGGAAGCTTCAATGGTGGTTGAGGAAGCTCCCCTTGTCATTCTTGCACATGGAGGAAGCTTCATGGAAGCTATGAATTGAATTCTTCAAATGGAGCTCCCATGTTGCTGTCATTACAAGTTTTATCACGTTGTTTGCTTTGGTTATTGCCACTACAAAGGATCTACCTGATGTAGAAGGTGATCGAAAGTTTCGAATTTCTACCTTCGCTACAAAACTTGGTGTGAGAAACATAGCAATTTTGGGATCTCGGCTATTGCAATATATTACTTTGGTGCTGTATTGGGTGAAATTTACATGCCTCAAGCTTTCAGAAGCAGATTAATGATACCCTTACTTACAACATTGGCAGTATGTTCAATTTTCCAGGCTTGGTTATTGGAGAAATCAAATTATACTAAGGAAGCAATTTTAGAATTCTACCTGTTTATATATATATATATATATATATATATATATATATATATATATATATATATATATATATATGTTTTTTTTTGTTTTTTGTTTTTTGTTTTTTTATTTTTTTTATTATATATATATATATATATATATATATATATATATATATATATGTATGTATATGTATATATATATATGGAATCTCTTCTATGCAAAGTATTTGTTGTTCCCTTTCTTCTAAATAAATAAATTAGTGTTAGTTTTAGTTATCAATGATATGATAACATTCCTCGAGACGCTGTTCATGGATTTAATAAATAAGGTGAATGCAAAAACCCAAGAGAAATGGATTTGAAGTATTCAACCAATTTTTAAGATAATGGAGCTTCAAAGTTTGGCAAAAAAAAAAAGAATTGATACATGTATGCTAAAATTAATATATGATACATGTATCCACCTGTGCCAAGTACTCAAGAGGGATCGATTCTTAAAGATACCAATAAAAGGATACCAGCTGATAGAGAGTATAGACTCGGACCCCCGAGTCTCACGACTATTGGGCCCGAACAGCAAAAGTAACTCACATTATAGCAAATTTAACTCGCAATGATTGAAAATGTAACTTCAGTTAAGTTCAAATATAAATTGTCTAATGCGAAGTATAAGAAATAAATCACTGACCTCAAAGTAAATAACGAAAATGGAGTCTAATCGCCCAATTATTTTACATAAATAGTAATCAAATATGTTTTGTTTTTAATATCAGGGCTATGAAAATGATAAATTTAAAAAATATGAAAGTTGTATTCATGTCTAAATGAAGAGTAAAACTAGGGGTGATTCAGTACGGTATATCAAATATTTTCTTTCATACCTTTACCGTACCGAAACTTTCGGTATACAAAGTTTATATACTGTTACCTTACAGAAGTTACGGTATACAGCATTTCGGTATACCGCATTTCAGTATACCGAAAGTTTCGGTATACCGCATTTCGGTATACCTAAGTTTCGGTTTGGTAATGGTACGGTATCGTTAAATTACCATGCATGTCTCCCAATACAACAAATTATCATAGACCAACAAAATATACTAAATTGGTGTTACCGACGACATATTTAATCCATTATTAGAATGTTACAAAATACAATTACTAATCTATTGATGTCATATTCAATATTAGATAATTATTATTATTATTATTAGTATATCTAAGCAGTTCAACATGCCATGTATTTAAAAATAACACATTCTCCTAAAATAACTTGAACAATATAGATATAATTATATGCATAGTGATCTTTAACAAAAATAAATAAAAGTATTCAAACAACATGGATATAAATTAAAATCATTTATCCCTAATATGATATTGTGTATTTAGTCATTTTTGTAGTTTAAAAAAATATTTGAATAAGACTTTCGAACAAACTTGTGTGCCTCGACTCTCGGAATCCTTATGTAGATACACTCATCACATAAGTATATTCCTCTTCACTCGTCAGCTACTATACTCAGCGGCTTAGCCATCGTGAAGAAGGACTGGTTTCTGGACATTACTACATTACTCATTTATCATTAGGGTTAGCCTGTTTGAATATTACGTAGTAGAAGCCTGAAAGGTTATAATGGGTTTGAGAAATTGGACCTTTATTTTTGTATTTTAGTATTTGTAACCAACCTAAGTATTAATTTTGGGCTTCAAAATTGTAATGGACTTTTACAATATTTTAGATTTCAAAGTAATTGTTGGGTAAGGAGTCGGTGTGGTATTATACCGGTATACCACGGTATTTGAAAACATTTACCGTTACCGTACCGAAATAAACCGGTATGGTATGATACCCTATGACGTGCACTTTGTCACGGTGCGTCAAAATAAATTCAATACTAGCACTAATACGTAGTATAGCGTAGTAGAGTTCGTATCCACAGGGAAAGGAATAATTCTCTTTTTAGTAAAACTAGTAAATAAGGGGGGTTATGGGATTGAGTGATTTAATTAAATTTAAACACGAAGATGAACGAGTTATATGTGATTTAATTCAAAGATAAAAAAGACTTGGCATTGCTACTTTCCACTTGTTGATATATTTTAGTCGATCATTGTTATATCTATAACTTATCCCCTCTCAAATACTCAATCGAGGAGTATATCCAATTCATCGAGAGTAGTTATTAACAACGACCGTTCATTAATAACCCTTACTATTAGTCAAGTATAGAACACTGCCATATACCGACTTAATAGTAGCATTTAATCTCTTAACTCCTTAATGAAATCTATTGAGATTGATAACCTCAACACAACGGTTTCGGTTTAACCAACAAAATTAATCCCTCTTAAGTTTATTAACCACGACCGTGCATTAATAAACCGAAGTTACTTACTTGTGAAACCATCAACGATTAACCATCGGTTCGTTGATCGTTTCTAGTAGTAATTAATGTCGAGATGTTAATGATACGTTTGTAATTTCCGTATGTTTATTTACGCTTTTAGTTAGTTTTGATTGTTTAATATTTCGGAAATTACACACTTTCGGTGTAATAGTTTAGTTTGTTAAATTCTTGTAATTTGTTTAGATTAGGTTTATTCTGAGCTTAAACAGGTCCAAGATCAATCAAATGATCAATGGTGAAGGAAGGTGCAAGAGTACAAGACAAAAAGAAGGAAAAATCCTGATTTTGGTCTACACTCGATCGAGTATATACATATACTCGATCGGGTATCTGGTTGACATTTCAAATCGGATCGGATCCGAAAACAAAGGAACATGCAGGAGAAGATTTTCCCACGTTCGAGTGTCTATACCCGATCGGGTATACTTATATACTCGATCGGGTATGCATATAAAATCTACTCGAGTATTGATCGAGTATTGACCAAATTCTGATTTCTATACATACTCGATCGAGTATGTATACATACTCGATCGAGTACTCGATCCTGCACCTCAAAAAGCCTATAAATACACCTCCTTTCCTTCACTTTTAAAAACCAATTCCTATATACTCTTAAGCTCAGTTTAGAATAGCATTTCTCTATATTTCTTTTAGCATGTTTAGTCTCCAAATGAGGAGCTAAACTTCCATTTCTTGGTATTGCTCTTGAAGCTTGTTGATTATTAAAGTTGTGAGTTATTTTCTTAACCTCTTTCCTTGAATATTAATTCTTTCTTCAAATACTATTTCTATATCAATGTTGGGGAGTGTTGCTAAGATGACAATTAGTTAACATCTTGATATTGGTCTTAGTAATAGCTATTCCTTCCTCTATGTTAATATTGGGGAGTGTTACTAAGATGACAATTAGTCAACATCTTGATATTAACTATAGTAGGATTCATCTTCTTTAATATTCTTCCTTGAGTATTAATTAATCCCTAATCATATTGCATATTAATATTTTGAACATTACTTAAAGGATCAACTAGTTTTGTTTCATATATTAATTATTACTAGAAACGATCAACGAACCGATGGTTAATCGTTGATAGTTTCACAAGTAAGTAACTTCGGTTTATTAATGCACGGTCGTGGTTAATAAACTTAAGAGGGATTAATTTTGTTGGTTAAACCGAGACCGTTGTGTTGAGGTTATCAATCTCAATTGATTTCATCAAGGAATTAAAAGATTAAATGCTACTATCAAGTCGGTATATGGCGTTGTTCTATACTTGACTAATAGTAAGGGTTATTAATGAACGGTCGTTGTTAATAACTATCCTCGATGAATTGGATATACTCCTCGATTGAGTATTCGAGAGGAGATAAGTTATAGATATAACAATGATCGACTAAAATATATCAACAAGTGTAAAGTAGCAATACCAAGTCCCTTTTATCTTTGAATTAAATCCCATATAAATCGTTCATCTTCGTGTTTAATTTAATTAAATCACTCAACAATCAAAACCCCCCTTTTTACTTACTATTTATATAAAAAGAAAGTTAGTCCTTTCCCTGTGGATACGAACTCTACTACGCTATACTACGTATAAGTGTTGTATTGAATATTACTTTGAGTGCACTCACGACAAAGTGCACGTCAAATTTGGCGCCGTTGCCGGGGAAAGGCAATTTATTTTTCGTTTTATTTCAATCTAAGAAAAAGAAAATATATATATATATATATATATATATATATATATATATATATATATGGTTCAAGTATAAAGACTTCTATTTCTACTGAGCTTTGTAGTACATGGTAAAATATCGTTCACTGAACGAAATCACATACCACTCAAACCCCGAAATAGAACGAACTCTCGAGCGGTTGAAAAACAAATTTTCAAACTCCGACTCGGGAGAATCATCAAGCACTAGTTCTCAATCTAGCGAAGACGAAGAGCCAACCACTATGGCTCACGAAACAAGAACATTGAGGGAGCTCACGGCTCCGAATCTAAATCAACAACCCCTTTGTATCACTTTCCCAACTCTTGATACGGGGGTCACATTTGAGCTAAAGTCTGGACTCATTCATCTACTCCCATCCTTCCATGGCTTACGAGGGGAGGATCCAAACAAACACTTGTCGGAGTTCCACATTGTGTGCACAAGCATGTGCCCCAATGGTGTCTCCGAGGAGCAGATCAAACTGAGAGCCTTCCCATTTTCCTTGAAGGACACCGCGAAGGACTGGCTATTCTATCTTCCTTCAGGAAGTATCACTACATGGCCACAAATGAAGAAGGCCTTTCTTGACAGGTACTACCCCGCTTCCATTTCATCATCACTCAAGAAGCAAATAAGCAACATCGAACAAAAAGATGATGAATCCCTATATGAATATTGGGAGAGATTCAAGAAGCTATGTGCAAGTTGCCCCTATCACGGATACACCGAACAAGACCTCATCCTCTACTTCTACGATGGTCTTGTGGATCAAGATCGCCGCATGGTGAATGCGGCGTGTGGAGGGGGCATTGTCAACAAAACCCCTTCACAAGCGAGAGAACTCATCTCGGAATTGGCCGAGAACTCCAGACAATATAACGGGCGGTCCTCAACT